CTACTTCCTTGTTCTAGCCTAAAATTTAGATTCCTGTCTGAAATTACTTCTTTGTTCTAGCCTAATGTTAAGTAGGCTTCAGGCAGGAATCTGACATTAGGCTAGAACAAAGAAGTAATTTCCTGCAGAAGTCTAAATCTTTGGGTAGAACAAAATTATTCTTAATGAATTACTGCTATACCCTTAGTTCAGTGCACCTATTAACCCACACCAGTAAAATTTCTTTTTGCAGTAGATAACAATCAATATAGAGACTCCCTTCCTATTAACATGCAGAGAACAAGAGACTTTGGGATTCTTCACAATAAATGAGAAATTCATATCATACCACTCTCCTCGGGTTAAGGGCTATTCACAGATTAGGGGGTCAGAAAAATTGTAAGAGACCTAATTGCTAGCAAATAGGCAACTAATATAACAGGGTTTTTGAAAAGGCTTGTGTAATGCTTCTACTGTAGAGTTTCCCTAATACGTAGAAATTTTTTTTAAAGGACTGGACATATAATGGAGACAATACATCCAATAGACCTTTTAAGTCACCAAATAAAAGTAGAATCAGGTTGCTTTTTGTTAAATTTTTGGCTAAAATGGTCCCATCGACTGATCCACCGCAAACCTCACAGGATATTGGCATGGCTATTATTTGTTTCACGTAACACACTGATACCAAGGCCTTATTTCTGACACCAGCTAATTTTACTAAATAGAGAGACATTCAGCTAGTACATTACTCAAAGCCTCACTCCTATTGGTTATCATTCACAGTGCAGGAGGCATCTTGCATGATACTAGAGGAGAGAAATAAAGAGATAATCAAAACAAACTAACCAACCAAATATTCTAAACATTTTCTATGTAATACATTTAATGAACCACCATGACTTGATCACTGTGGGACTCCAAGGAATGCTGGTCCTGTGGGGTGAATTTTATGTTTTCCCTAAGGAATTTTTGTTCTCTTAGTAACTTTGGAGAGTCAGGAATAATTGAGATTCATTTTAGCATTGTTATTTTTTTCTTTTAGAAAAGTATGCAATTGAGAGATTTCTTTTTATTCTTCTTTTGTCACTTTATTTACATTTTTAAAAAATTAGACAACACTAATCCTGTGCTTCCTTATTTACAGATATGATCTGTGATTTTTCTCATATTCTGACAGTTGTTTCTGAAATTATTTAGACTTTTTGTTATATTCCTCTATTCCAAGCATGTACTTTCATGTCCAGTTTCTTCTGTGTCCAGTCAGTGTTGTAATTCCCTCTGAAACTTATACTAGTTTGCTCTTTACAGTGGTAGTCATTTTTTATTATGCCTTAGAAAGATATATTAATATTTCTAAGTACTAAAGTTGTTTTATTTTTTGGTGTGGGGGACAAAAGAGAAAAAAAATAATGGCTCCTGATGGCATCTCAAAAGGAATACAACATTGATTTTGGCATCTCAGAGCTTATTATAACTCACCGTTCCTAAGGTTCCTCTGATCTTAGTTCATGTTATAAGTGTGTGAGTAAAGAGTTTGGACATTTTTAGCATTTCTAGAAGGCCAGGGTAACATTCAAGGATGAAATCTATAGTTGTTTTTTTTTCTTTACTTATTTTTCTTTCATATTTTAAGATCTCTTAACTGGAATTCACTTTGATGGCCTTTGAGAATTAGCTTTGGCTCTACATGACTTACAGATGTAGCCCCTTTTTCACATTTTTGCCTATAAATGAAAGTATTGGCACTTTCTATATCTTTGCTTTTGAAGAAACATTCTGTGTTGTAGCTGTGTACTCATAGAGGTCTGGGCATTTATAGAGCATGTCATGTATATACCAAGTTTAATTGCTTTAAGTGTTTCATAAGTCACTCAGAAGAAAACAACCAATATTCCTTTTAGGTTATGCACGTAGGTTAGGAAGTATGTGTGATATCTATGAAAGAAGACATTTTAAAGAGCCACACAAGATTTCATCTAGTGATGGAACGTATGGAGAATCCATAGTGTAATAGACAGATTTTCATACTTTTCTATTTGGAGAGTGCCCAAAGGGACAGTAATAAAATGCATGTGAAATGAGTATAGGTGATGTAAAGGAAGAATAAGGCATAAGGAAGCAGGAAGGGCTGGGTGAGACAGTAGATAGAATGTCAGAGTGGAAGAGGTAGTTTCAGAACAGTTAACCTTTGAGAAAGTCACGTGTAAACCTACTTTTATACACTTTTCCTAAAGTATACTCATGCATAAAAAGAGTTTAAATGTGGTTACCCTACAATTGGGAAAGTGTGTTCCTTTAAGACACCACATGCTCTCAAATGAAAACCCAGAACAAGAAATGAGTTTCCTTTGCTTGGACTTGTTTAACACTAATCTCCAGTAGAACCCCCCAAATTATAGGCTATTGCCACTGCTGTTTGTTATCCCTAAACTTCATGATTAGATCCTATTGCAGAAGACACCATATAGTCAAATCATAATGCAGTAAAAGAAAGCCTTATGTCCAGTTCTTTTTTAAAAAATTTTTTTTCCATGTCTACATATATGCAATTTTGTACTTGCCTTTCTTTTTTTAGTCTTTTGTATTTTTATACATGAGAACAATGGCCATAGGTCATATCCACCTACACACAATTCAAAACTTTAAACTCTCATTTCAAACATGCAGAGCTGAAAAGAAGGATATGATTTTTCCATTTGTATTATATAAAATCATCATAAGCACTCACTTCTGCCAGCATGAATAAAAATTTGGTGAGAAACTATTTCTTCCCTCCTAACAATTTCTCAACCATTCTGTGTAATTTGAAGAGATAGGAATATATGTAATTCTTAAAGTTTATCTTGCTTTGTATAAAAAGTTGGGAGATGAGTCTGGTATTGTCCATCTTCTAAAAAGGTAAAAGTCTCTATATGCTATCACAGGACAAATGTAATAATTGATTTTACTCAGGCATGAATCCTAAAAGCTAAAGTAATGTTTGACAGGGTAGGATATTCCCACTAATACAATGTTGGCAAATTGTTTAGGAGTAAGTAACTATTTATGAATTGGATTTAAGGCTTGCTTCACAGACAAAATTAATTTCTACCATGATGTTTAGGTCAACTACTGGGACTATATGGGTCATAGGTACTAGAAAAGTACTTATGACTATTTCTCTGCCTGCTGCAGATTTAGCATTAGCCTTTCCAATGTACTGATAGATTACTTTATCTCACAACCATTATCAGAGATGCTCTTTTTAGAAATAAACTAAGATTGACATAGATATCTATAGCCAGTCAATGGGTATTGATTTAGAGACTGTGAGTGCTCATTCTTCTTCACATCATACCTTCCAACCAAGTCTCAGGAATCATTAGAGAAGTAGGGATATAAGAGCCAGAGGTCATAGATGACTACATTAAAACAATGTTTTCAGAGTGTTCCTAAAGAAGCCACAGTGGTAATAAGAATATAACATAAAACCTGAGTAAAATCAACCCAGAAAAAAATTAAAAATAGGAGAGAGGATGTAACTATGAATTCTGCCTCTAGCTGAGTAACTATTGGCAGTTGATGGATGGATACTTTGAGAATTATGGTAAGTTTCAAGGATGTAGCCCCTGCAAAGCTACCTACTCTTAAGTGGATAACACTCATATATGTATACATAAGGAAAGGTTTGTGTGGACACAAATTCCTTAAGCAATTGGAAAAGAACAAATGTATTTCAGTGGAATAGTGGTAAACGATAAGAAAAGAAACAGAAGGGAAGATATCAGAAATGAATTTCATCAAAACACATTGTATACATGTATAAAATTCACAAAAAATAAAATGAAAGTGTATAGCCCTAGTTAATAAATTTCATTACTATTGAACTAATTTGTAAGTTTCTTAGCAACAAAATTGATCTCTTGGGAAAATACCAGGCAAACATAAACCTTTCAATTTTAAATCACATCCCTGAGATTAAAGACTCATAAAACCCTCCTGGGTCATTGCCACATGGCACTTATGACATCAGATGTAGTATTTACCAATCTCTGTAACAGAGAAGTCATTTTGGGAAAAGTCTGTAGCAGAAATCATGGTCTTGAGCTTATGGCTTCTCAGATCCTGGAGGAATGAGGGCTAAAAGATTCCCCAGTCCAAAGTTAGATTCACTCACCACCAAAAAGCCAAACCCAGTAGCAGCAGAAAATTTTTCTCTAGACTCTACAACTTTACAGCTCACCCACGCCATTTGCACTGGCCCTTCTTTGAGACTACAGAAAAGTGAGTAAGATTACTTGTGCTGTTCTCACATACAAAGGTAAGTGTTGAATTGGATGCATGATTTTTTCCTGTGGGTGGCGTGTTCTCGCCCGCGAGTAACACAGACACCAAAGTTCTTCAGCAGATCTTTATTACGATGTTATAGAGAAAAGACCCGCTGGGAAAAAGCCGGCTGTTGGGAGCCGGCTGGCGGAGAAGGCCCCGAGCCCCGGGAAGGCCCTGGTTAAATACCCCCTGGAGTGATGTGTACATACCCGGTTGGTCAGTTGCCCATAAAATTCTATATGCCCCGGGAAGGGCTTGTGACTTCGCGCGCTTTCCCCTTACACAAAGACAGTAAATTACAGAACTTGTGAGGACATCGCTTCCCAGAGATGTCTCTGCTTTCCACGGCTCTCTACATTTTCCCAAACTAAATCTGAGAGACCTAGTGAGTCTTTGATGTGCCTTGTCTCTTGTCTGTTGTGATTACAACTGAGCCTGAATTAGGAGCCTAAATTATCAAGGAAGAAGTAGAACTGAGATGCTACAGAGGCAATAATGGTCATTGGTTTTCTGAATATTATTCTCTAAGAAATAAACATATGGCCTTTCATATATTTATTGTTATTTCTGTACTTTTACTCCCATAAAATGTGGAAAGCAAAGAAATGTGATCTTGATTGTATTCTACTCCTTAGTCTTTCTCTAGTGTTGTAGGTTGAAGAAGGCTCCAATTCCATTTTCAAGTTACAATTTTTACTGTCCTTACAGATATGACCTAAGGAAGAATGGCTTTAGGAAATGAATCTTCAGTGAAGGAGTTTATCCTGCTGGGCTTGACACAGAAGCCAGAGCTCCAACTGCCTCTCTTCTTCCTCTTCTTGGGAATCTATGTGGTCTCCATGGTGGGGAACCTGGGCTTGATTGTTCTGATTGTGTTGAATCCTCACCTGCACACCCCCATGTACTACTTTCTCTTTAACCTATCTTTCATTGATTTCTGCTACTCCTCTGTCATAACTCCCAAAATGCTGGTGGGTTTTCTGAAGCAGAATATCATCTCTTACTCTGAGTGTATGACTCAGCTCTATTTTTTTGCTTTCTTTGTTAGTGATGAGTGCTATATTTTGACAGCAATGGCCTATGACAGATTTGCTGCCATTTGTAAACCCCTGCTTTATCAGGTCACTATGTCCCATCAGGTCTGCCACTTGATGATGATGGGTGTTTATGTGATGGGGTTTGTTTGTGCCATATCCCATACAGGTTGTATGCTAAGCCTGACCTTCTGTGATGGCAATATAATCAATCACTACATGTGTGACATACCCCCTCTCCTAAAACTCTCCTGCACAAGCAACTCCATTAATGAGGTTGTGGTTTTCATTGTGGTGGGTGTCAATGTGATAATACCCAGCCTCACACTGTTTGTTTCTTATACCTTGATCCTTTCTAACATCCTCAGCATCCAGTCTGCTGAAGGTAGATCAAAAGCCTTCAGTACCTGTGGCTCCCATGTAATATCTGTGTCTTTTTTCTTTGGAGCTGCAGCCTTCATGTATTTTAAGCCTCCTAGTGCATCTGTGGATGAAGATAAAATATCTTCCATGTTTTATACTATTGTGGGCCCGATGATGAATCCTTTTATCTATAGTATAAGAAATAAAGATGTCCACATTGCACTGAGAAAAACTTTGAAGAAAAGGAGTTTTACTTAAGTAGAAACTGTATTTTAATGGAAGCATTCTTAGGGTGAGTGGTTTACAACTAGGAAGCAAACTAGAGAAGTACTTACTTGTCAGACCATTTGCTTACGTTCATGAGCCCTAGATTTAACTTACAGTTTAAAAATAGTGGGTACTATTCTAAAACAACACAAAAACAATTACAAAAACAAAATAAAAAATCATTTATGTGAGAATATTGTAGAATTAAAATTATTCATCATGCAAAATTAAGTTAATAATGAGGAAATTTCAGAGGTAAAGACTGTGAAATATAAGTAAGCCTTTATCATTTTATAGTAGAGAAAATAATTTACTTTGCCATTTACCAAATCATTTTTTTTCTCAGCACTGAAAAGTGAGCAAGCACATTTGTGTAGCCATCCACCAGTGTATCACATTCCAGCCTTAGAAATAATGAAGACTGAAGTACAGGACACTGGGTGATCTTATACTCAGAAAGAAAATGTCAAGGTTTCTTAAATGTATATCTTTTTATTTGTAGATTATATGGAGGAGTTCCTATTCAGATTAACTTGCATGTCAGACACGTGCTCTATCAATGAGCTACATCTTAAGAACAACTATGAGACCTTTGACTAGAGTACATATAGAAGTCTTATTTACCTGTGCCATTGAGATCTTGATTTATTCAGTTTTATATATTTCTTCAGTTAATAACCCCCCTCAAATATTGGTAGTCTAGTTTATCTTGAAAAGTTCTTTTGTTTCTTCAAAGGTTGAAGTAAGGAGGACAAATGCCTTTTTCAGTTTGGCCTTCTCTCTATAGTCATATAGCAGTTTGCTAAACAGAGGTTGTTGAGTCTGTTATGATTTTAGTGGTCTTAGACTGAAAATGAAATAACTTAGATTATTTATGATAAAAGGAAACTATATTAGATATTTCCCTCATGGACGTGAGGACATTTGTGTATAAGTACCTATTATGTCTCCATTGGGAAGAATTTGACAGTAATTGTACTAGTTATCCATAGAGGAATTTCGTCTTTTACTAAAAACAAATCTTTCTGATTAATACTTTCTTTCTCTTTAACAATTTCACTTTCATTCTATCTCATTGTTCTACATAGAATGATGCAGTTTATTGAAGTACTAAATATAAACTGAGCATGTATCCTATTGTAGAAATCAAGATTTGTAGACTATGGTCAGACATTAAAAATATTGGAACACAGTACATAGAGAGAGAATCCAAAGTGGAAGCCTTCTTTGGTTCACTCTCCTAGAAGTTTGGGGAATCCCAAGGAAGAGTTGGCAGAAGGATTGTAGAAGTTAGAGTGGATACAGGACCCTAAGAAAACATGGCCTATTGAACCATGTAAACGGGGCACTTATGGGCTCACAGAGTCTGACACAGCAAGCATGTGGCATGCATGGGTCTGCCCCATGTTCTATATATCTATGATGTGGCTGTTAGCTTGGTGTTTTGTGGGTCTCCCAATTGTGGGTGTGGGTATGTCTTCAAATCTTTTGACAGCTCTTGGATCTCTTTCCATTTTGTTAATTACTTTTTTTAGCTTTGTTGTGAGGATTAAAAAATAAAAATAAAAACAAATACAGCTCTGAAGAAAGGTGACGATCTTTGTGGTCTCAGAAGGCTACAGACTAGTAAGATGCTGAAAAGATAATTTTAGTGTCTGTGAGTTTGTATCAAAAAAATGATCTACAATGTCAACTCTCTTACTATCTTGGGTTGGTTGGTAAAAGGGTCTCTTTCTAAGGAGATGGTTGGTGACCCGACTGAAGACAGAGTTCTCCACTGAACTTTTAAGCATCGAAATGAGGCAAGCTTAGTTTCAGATACACGAACAATATTCTGGTGATTTGAAATGTTTATGGGACAGAGATGAACCCTATGCAAGCATAAGAACAGGAATAATTTGCATACAAGTGTGAACAATAATTAGGAAATGAAGTTGGATTGGGGTTTGTGAGAGAAAAGAATGGATATTAATAAGCAAAATAAAAATCAAAGTGATATTAATCATACAATAGATTTTGTTTTCTTCCTTTCTCCATAATTTGATGGTCATTCAATGCTCATTCATAAACTGTCTATAATGTAATCAATGAAACAAAAATTTAAATAACAAATATTTTCGTGTCCTGCAGGAGGGATGGCTTTTCACTGGTAAATTGGCTAGTGATGGCTAGATATCAGTAAAGGCTGTAACAAATATTAAGTGGGAGACACTTAATCCTGTCTCACCTCTTCCTCTTCAGTCAACTGTGTCAAGTGGGAAGATCAGGGGAACTGCTTTGTCTTTATTTTGTAATTTTTGTGTCTTCATCCTCTTATTCCTAGATTCTGCATGGCTAGTATTAAAACTGCTGTGGTATACGTTAAATAAATAGTATATATATTTAAAAATTCCTACATTTTTATAGAAGGTTAGCTTTCACATCACAGGGTAAACGTAGGAAGGTGTGAATATGGAGTTGGCAATTGGAATTGGTTCTAATGTTAATGGATATAGCATTCCCCTAGAAGTGGAAGGCAATTAAAAAGAGAAAGGGAGAAGGAGAAAACTGATGCTGATGGCATGAGAGTTAAACCTCTACTGATAATATCAGGCAACTGGAGAAAAGAAAAAGAAGGAAACTGGTACTGGTGGCAACCAACTTAGGCTACAACTGATAGTATCTAGCAGAAGCTCCCACTGATAGTAGCCACCTGGATTGCCACTGATTGTGACAGTGATCACAGAAAGAAAGAAGGAGAAAATAATCAAGTTCACACACAGTGGATGAAGCACAGTGGACTCCAACAAGCAAGCTCCAACAAGAAAGCTCTAACAACTTCATAATACATATACATATACACATACACACATACACACATATACACATACACACATACATACATATACACATACATACTTATGTACATATATGCATTCAGACAGACACATTCAGACATTGGTACAAAATACAAAGGTCTAGCTAGCAAAGCTCTATTTTATATACAGACATTTGTTGTATAGGAAAAGCTCTAGTTAGCAATCTCTCACTACCTTACATACATGCTTATACACATAATTGGTGGATAAAGCAAACCTGTAATGATCAAGCTCTAACAAGTTTATTGTTTTTTTTTTTTCCTTTTTCGGTTATACCAGCTTGCAAATCCACCAGCAATGAAGAAGTATTCCTCTTTCTCCACATTCTTGCCAGCATGTGCTGTCACTTGAGTTTTTGGTCTTAACCATTCTGATCAGTGTAAAGTGAAATCTCAGGGTCCTCTGTTTTTGAATGAAGTAATTCTTCCTCCTAAATAAAGAACAGGGAAGTAGGCTCAGATATTTTGGTCATCCTGATAAGCCTTTAGAAACAGTGACTTTGCTTATTGCCTTGCTTGTTCCTTGAGTATTTGCATTTATTGTATTGCTAGTTCCTCAATCTAGAACTTACCTAAATACTTGCATGTAATTAAAGTGGTGTGAAAGAAAACTGAGAAAGAATAAACCTGCCTTCAGCCTCAGAACTGGCTGGGGTCATGCAACAATGCCTCTGGGCATATACCCAAAAGATGCTCCACCATACCACAAGGACATGGGCTCCACTAAGTTAATAACAGTCTTATTTATAATACGCAGAAGCTGGAAACAACCCAGATGTCCCTCAGCCAAAGAAGAATGGATATAAAAAATGTGGTTCATTTATACAACGGAATAGTATTCAGGTATTAAAAACAAGGACAGCATGAATTTTGCAGTCCAATGGATGGAACTAGAAAATATCATCCTGAGTAAGGTAACACAGACCCAAAAGAATATGCATGATATGTACTCATTGATAAGTGGTTATTAGCCAAAAAGTACACAATAACCATGATACAACTCATAGACTATAAGAAATCTAACAAGAAGGAGGATACTTCAATCCCACTTAGAAAGGGTGAATGAAATAATCGTGGGAGGCAGAGAAAAGGAGGAAACTGAGTGAGAGAGAGGAGGAAGAGGGGGAAAAGGTGGTAGAATCAGGTATGGAGGGAGCTAGAAGAGAAGCCCAGAGGGCCAGGAGAATGAATGAAAATATGCAGCTGCTGGGAGTGGGGGTCAGGGGAATATCTAGAAATTCACAGAGACCTGAGATGAGAAAGGCTACCCCCACCCACTCAATAGGGATGACCTAAGCTGAAATTCCCTACGGGGGGGGGGGAGTGGAACCTGAAGGGATCACCTCCGGTAGAGGGCTCCCAGATGGAGTCACCCCAATATATTCAACATTTGTGACCCAGAATTGTTCCTGGGAAAGAGACAGAGGGACAAAAATGGAGCAGAGATTGAAGGAAATGTCATCCAGTGACCAGACCTACTTGGCATCCATCCCATGGGTGGGTAATAAGCCCTGACACTGTTACTGATGCCATGTTGTGCTTGGAGACAGGACCCTAGCATGACTGTCATATAAGAGTCTGTATCAGAAGCTGACTGGGACAGATGCCGATACTTACAGCCTACAGTTGGATTGAGGTCAGGGACTCCTATGGATGAGTTAGGGGAAGAATTGAAGGAGCTGAAGGGGATGACAACCCCCATAGGAAGACCAATAGTATGAACTAACCTGGACCCCTGAGAGCTCCCAGAGAGCATAAGCCACCAACCAAAGAGCATACAGTGGTGGGTCTGAGGACCCCAGCACTTATGCATCAGAGTATTACCTTGTCTGGCCTCAGTGGGAGAGGAGGCCCCTAAACTTGAATAAACTTGATGCCTCAGAGAAGGTGTGTGTGTGTATGTGTGTATGTTTGTTTGTGTGTGTGTGTGTGTAGTGGGGGGGATGGGTGGGGAAGCACTCTTTCAGAAGCAAAGGGGTAGGGATAAAGTAAAGAAATCTTGGAGGGGGGACCAGGAAGGAGGGAAAACACTTGGAATGTGAATAAATAAAAACATTTTAAAAAGAGACAGGAAGAAAGAAACAAGGAAAGAAAGAAACAAACAAAGAAAGAAAGGAGAGAAAAACATTTTACA